CCGGTCAACAGCTGCGTGAGGGACCTCGCCTTCGGACGGGACCTGAGGAGATCGGGCGTTCTCGGGTGGGGTGGCCGCAGGCCGCGCGCCCGTCTGTGACGGACCCCCAGCCCTGAGGGGGCCCAGCGCTGGTCTGTGGGAGAAACCCCCTGCGCCTCCGTCTGTGCGCGCCGTCGGTCCCTAGAGAGGTCGAAGGAGTCTGCTCGCGTGGCGGACGTTGGGCGAAATCTTCAGGGATTTCTGTCATCCCTCGTTTTGGGGGGAACGAAAGCGATGTTTCTGAGGAAGGTCTGGAGTTGCCCGCTCTAGCAGGTGGATCTCCCCTTTGGATTTGAACGTGGAAACTCTCCGTGGTGTTCTTCAGTGGGCTGGGTTTTTTTCTCCCCCAAAACTTAGCAAGCATTGGTAGTGATTTTTTAGGCATTTTGTGTTTCTTTTGTTCTTCCACAATGTAAAAGATTAAGTGCTAAATAGAACTGCTGTTTACAAGCTTTGGCTGCCAAGCTGAAGTCTTGATTTATGCTAAAGTTTTGGAGGTATCTGTCAGACTTCTTTTAAGTCACAGAGTTATTGTCACAAAGAGCATAGATTTCAGGGTTTGATTTTCGTTTTTTGAAGAACTGAACCCTTTGCAAATATAAAATTAAAATAGCAGAGATGTGGAAGATGTGTACAGGAAGCTATTTTTTTTGATGACATCCTGGTCCAGTGATCACTTTGGACTGATGTCTTCTTCTGTTTTGTGTGTGGATTTTGACATATATTGTAACGTTTTTGGATTCAGGAAAGTTCCTAGTAGTCTAATTACAGTAATGCCTACAAGCGCTAATGGGGACAGGAACACCACTGTTGCATATGACCACATTAAGAGAGCTTTCTTAGCTCTCTTAGCTCTCTTAGAGTCTAATTAGCGAACTGGCAACAAACAGTGGTCTGTTTTAATCGTAGAAGAGGTTTGGATGGAATGAAAATGAGAAGGGTTGGCTGTGCCATACTGATGCTCCGTTCTACAAAGGGATGCTTTTCTTGGTAAAATTGTGTGGCCTTTTCAATGCTCTGTGTGGGCTGGAGAGGTTGCACCCGCAGCTGGTTGCCAACGCGGGTCAGGAGAGGTCCTTTAGCTGCTATACAGGGAGGTGCATCTAACTGTCAAGGAAATTGGCAGGTAGAAATTAGGTTGGTTGCGCTGCTGAAAATAATAGCGCGTATAATCCATTTAAATAGCACCATGTGTCAGAAGTTACAGATGACTTTCATTGCCGTAGTGAATTCTCTTGAAGACGTTATTCCAAAAATAAGTTAGTATGTTTTTTTGTTTTTTATAAGAGTTGTTGTACAGCAATCTTTGCATGATGAGTAGTGCTGTTTAACTCTTGATTTGTTTTATATTGCTAAAAGATCGTCAGTTAGCTCCGAGTTCCTGAAATGTTCTACTTGGGTAGCAACTTTTTGCAGAGCTGTTTTAGGGAGATTCATCTTTCTGGTTTGCATATGCCTGAGTTAGGATTTGATCTGTAATACTTAATAGCACAAACTGGCTTTCCTACAAAGTTGTAAGGAACAGGGAGAAACAAGAAGCTCAGGGTTAATATTCCGAAGAACTGAGGCAAACATTCTACCTTATGTGAAAGTATTGCCGTTTTTCACTTTACCTAGTTTTATTTTCCACTTGGAGTGGAGTAGGAAACTATTATAGAGGAATTTGTTTGGAGGAGAGCAACAAATGACATTGGATAAAATATTGCTCTCTACTTTAATTAGATTTCCTCTTACTAACCTCAGATGTCCAAATAGCAAAATCAGATTGAGCTAATAAACTGATATAAATGTGCTGCTTCCTTGATATGAGTTTATGTTTCCCTGTACCACCTTAATGTGATCTGCTTGAAGTAAATTGCAACTTTAAAAAGGAGTAAGCTAAATATAAACCTGAGACAGTGTTCATTAGTAAAATACTCTCTACCTTTTCCCTTTGTTTTTAGGAGCAGCAGAGAATTGTGGACTATTCTTCTGGGCAGATCAGCTTTAAGAGAACCAGTAAGTCTGTGTCTGGCGAGGCAGGTTTGCCCGTCACTGAATGGACTTCGTGGCCTAAATACATCATTTGTTGTGCAGCTGTTTGAATATCAGTGAAAATATGTTTTTGCTGCTTTTCCCTCTTCCTCAGTGCGATCTTTTTTTTCCCTCTTTTTCCACTCCTTGTTTATTTTTCCACTCCTTGTTTATAGCTGCTTCATGAACTTCTACCTGGAAGGGTGTATGTGAAAAGGTGGTTCCCTTTCTGAAGCGGACACAAGTGGTACTTTCTAGACTGGCTGGCCTGGGTATTCATGAGTGGTACAGCCTGCTTCCTTATTTTCTGGGACGGAGCCCGTGCTTTCAAGAATGTGCCCAGAGGTTGGAAATCCAAATGTGTTTCTAAACCCAGTCCGTTGCCTCCTCTTTCCTCCCCCTTCCCATAATTAGGCAAGGCAGCAAGCTTTTTCATACAATATGCACCTTGAATCAGAGCCTGAATCATAGACGCTCTTGTTGTTTGTTGTGTGTTGTTCCTGTCTCTTTGTGGTGGTGGTGGTGGAATTACTTTGCCTAGTTTAAATTAAGCAAATCTGATACTCGGAGGTGTATGCCGAAGAATCTGTTCAGCAGTATTCTTTTCTTTTTTCAGGCTCAGATTGCGGCAGAATTGAACAAACACTGGCAGAGGCTGTTAGAGGGGCTCTCATACTACAAACCCCCAAGGTATAGCAATTACCTGATTTTAGAAATTGACCTCTAACTTCTAAAATGAGATCTACTAATATGTAGAGAAGAATGTTGAATATTTCTCTCTGATTACATAAAAACAGATTTTTACTCTTGCGTGATTTGAGATTTCAGGAGAGGAGTAAAAAAAGAAAGTGCTCTATCCAAATAACATTTTGAGGCATGACACGTACACTGGAGAGAAGTAACAGTGGTTTCTGCTCTCCTTGCTAATGTTAGATAGCTCTTAACCCTTGCATCTGCTAACTTGTAGTGATCGCATGCAAGTATGCATCCTGCAGAAAAGTGACTCCTCTTGACGGTTAGTCATCTCAGAAAGGTATCCAGATTCTCTCACAGAGGGAAAGATTATATTCTCCTTTTTTTTTTTATAGTAATAAGATAATGATGTTGAATGTTATCTGGTGGGAAGATTACAAAGTAGTATTGTATTAAATACTGAAAGGCCTTTGAAAGTAAATGAAAGTTAAGTTTAAACTGATAAAACTGAAAATTTAAAACTAAACCTTTTTAATTCATTCCTTGAGATTGCTGCATTGTTAATGACAAAAATTTCTATTTTCTTTAGCACGACTTCCGCAGAAAAAATAAAAGCTGATAAAGATGTAGCTGCTCCACTAAAAGAATTGGGTCTGAGGGTCAGCAAGTTTTTGGTGAGTGAAGGTGCTATTTTTTTTTTTTTTTTTTTACCCCTGCACTTGATTACGTTGTTACTGGAATTGCTTTTTTGAGTCTTCACGATGTTGAATAGAGGCAAACTTAAGTTCTTTTCAATTTAGAATAATCTAAAAGGTGTTATAAGTACGTGTTGGGGCTTTAGGTCAGAATTTTTGAGGGGATTAATAACCTTGAGGTTCTTTGACCTTCCTTGTTAACCTAAGAAAAGGAAGGGAAGGCAGCTTTTCAGAAGCGCTCACCCTCTTCGGTCTTTCTTGGATTCTTTCAAGACATCTGGTCTTGGAAGACTGGTTGGCTAAAACTTTATGTCCTTTGAATTAGTGGTCATGTTTGAAAATACTGACCGATTACCTGCAAGGTTATGGTCATTCAAGCTAGAAGTTAGAGTTAGGTGGTTAGTGGAGGTACCTTTATTGAAATGATGTCATGTTCCTTTTGCTGAAGTCGAAGTAGCTACATCTAAGTCATGTCAAAGCTCGTGTGTTCTGCTTTAAACAAAAATACTGACTGAAACAAGTAACAATTC